GAGGGTGGACGATAATCGGAGGCCGCAGCATAAGAACGTGACACGGTTTCGAGACGTTTATCATCAGGACACGTGTGGTAACCCTATCGGTGGTAGCATGACTGAGTCACGCGGGAAGCTGATAAAATCAAATCGTCAGCATGAAACGGATTGCTACGTGACAGGGCGCGACAACAGCTGGCCAGTGCGGACCGTAAGCAGGTTTGAAATCTGTCCATGGCAAATGGTTTGACGCAGCTCAGGAACTTACAACAACGTGCTAGATCGTGACCTATAAAATGAACCGTGTTCTGTGCCGATTGCACTTCGGTTTAGCAGACCGGTCCCAAGCTGGGTTGGCATGGCAAAGCGCAGAGTGAAGGCAGCGTTACAACAGACAACCAATCCACAGTTTGTCAAAATGTTTGGAGTTTTGGACCGAACACTTTTAAAAGCAGCTTAATCAGCCAGAGTTACCAGCTACTCTCTTGGCCATTGATATCGCTTCTCCCTGGGCCGTCCGCATGGACTCGCCTTCATGCGCAGAACTCGGACGTGAGATCAGACTATTGAAAGTGAATATAGCCGCAGGAGCCCTCTACAAATTCGAAGGACCTGCTTTTACGGAAGATTTGCTTAACTTAGTGAATCTGTACGAGCAGAGGTCTGTCCCCAACAGATTGGAGCCGATCAGTTGTAGTCCCAATTTTCGATAGACGATCTTGTTCGGAACGCGGCAGTCATAGGGGAATCAGTCTGATTTCATATCCCTCTAAGTTACTTGCCACGGTCGTCCTCCATAGACTGACTAACACTCGTGAAAGCCGGATATGAGAGGATCAAACCGGGTTTCGTCGAAATCGAGGCTGAATTGGCCACATCTTCACATTACATCAGTTGTTGGTGTACCGCCATATTTCCTGGCAACTCGCTGTAGTCGCTTTTCTCGACATCAAAGGTGCCTCCGATTCCGTTGCTTGTTGTGCCCTTTAGGACTGTCCATTCAGGAAGGGTGTGTCTGAGAAATATACAGATGTCATAAGAGCACTGTACGCGCAGAGTGATGGTTTATGACAAACTGTCGCCGCCCTTCAATATCTCCAGCGGTGTGAGACAAGGTTGCCCGCTGTCACCTTTCCTCTTTACTGCGCCATTGACAAAGTCATAGAAGCAGCGTTCGCTGGACACGACCTACAAGATGTGAGCTGCTCCCAGGTGACCGATTTCTTGCATTTGAGTATGCCCCTATCTGTGACGGTTCCCAAACGTGCCAGTTCAATCCACTTTACTGTAGATGAACAACCATTATCCTAGCACCGAAGTGCAGTAGATGTAGTTGCCCTGACTAACACCGCAAGAGTAACAATAAATAACAACGACAGGACAGTAGGCTTGAGTGGGAATGTTGTATTAAGGGAATGGAAGCAAGAAGGATGTCCTTTAGACTAATCGAAACCTTGCAACCTGTTGCAAGAAACTGAATGTAGGAGCGCCACTGACTGCTTGACTGCGCCATGTCTGATACAGTCTCCAACCATTGGTGTGGACCATCCCGAGTCCCCACCCACGAAAACGGCATGCACCAGTCTGACCAAGTAACTCAACCAATTTCTTCATATATCTATGCCACGTCATGGACTGGCCACCTCGCGGTTTCGCCCAACTTCGTGCGGCCACGGCGTATAATGCACGCCGAGAAAGCCGGTCAGTGGGCATACAAAGTATATAGTCTAATCAACGTAAGTGCTTAAGATCCAGCAAACATTCGAGTGAGGCACTAGAAGAATTCTTGCTAACAACCAACTGGCGGACCTCAGCATTGCTCACCGAGTGTTCCCACTAAATGTGAACAATACTCCGCAAGTGCCGGTGGTCAAACACGGCTAAGCGTTTAATGTCTTCGCCGTGAATTGGCCAAATCTCTGCTTCACACAGTAAGAGGGGCCTTACCGCAGCGTTATACACCCTACCTTTCACTGACAGGCTGGTCGCCCACCCGTCTTCATAGATGGTTGCGTCTCTACAGAGCCACACAAGCCTTGCTGACACACGAAGTAACTTCCTCCATGAGGTGACCACCCGAGGTGACACAGCTACCGAGGTAAATAAACCGATCCACCACTTCTAACGACTGTTTGATGATAGCTAGAACTGGTGGTGTGTGTATCCAATCCTGCAGCAGTACTTTAAACTTTGAAGATACAAAGCACGTGCCGAAGCGTGCAGCGCTACGCGTCAGTCTGTCTAGTAGTGTCAGAGCAAGGATAGCAATTTCGTCCGCATACTCCAGGTTTGTCACTCGGTCACCTGGCACCCAAACGTGCCTACTTGCCCTAGATAAATTAGCTCCGGCTTCGTGGGATCGAGCATGAGATCAGGAACCATGTAGCAAAAGCTGAGAACGCTTCTGCCAATCTCTGGCACCTGTGGCGCCGTCATGACATCACTCTCGCTCTGAAGGGCAGAGTTTACCCTGCAGCCGTTCGTTCAACCCTCCCATACGGTTGTGAAACTTGACCCATCAGGTCGACAGACATAAAGGGGCTATCTACGTTTGACCATCGCTGCCTTCGCAGCTTAGCCCACATCTAGTGGGAACACCGCATGAACGATGAGCGTGTTCGGCGTCGCGTATTTGGTGCAGGAAGAGCAAATGAACCGCTCAACATCTTTATATCACGCATCAGGCTCCGATGGCTGAGTCGCGTGTTGCGCATGCCAGCATAGCCCACCGACTCCCGCAACGTGCGTCGTTTGCGCGCCGGGGTGCGGATGGAAGAAAATGTGGGGTGGTCAAGCGATGGCTTGGTCAAGAGGCCCGAAGACCCTTACTTCGAAGTTGGCCTCGATTGGCGCCTCTCGGCTCCCTGCTTGGGGCGCAAAAGATGATGAACACTTTAGGCTGGATACACTTGTTGACATGGCTAGGAACCGACTTCAGTGGCGTTTATGTTGTGAGTTTCTTTGTCCCTCCCCCTCCAACCACTATTTCACTTATCACGCATAACTCCTTTTTTGCTGCAAAATGGCCGGTTGTTAGCTACCCGGAACGATGTCTATCACGTACCGGTGACTCAGCCGGCTTGTCTGGCATGTATGTTTCATTTCTTTTGTATTGCAGCACAATAGCTGCAGGGTTTTCCACCTGCAGCTAGCGTGTATAATGATGATGGGGATGCTTGTCTTCCTTCCCTGCGGTAGCATACTTTGCTATTCATTTATTTCGCACCGTCCATCTTTCTGAGCTGCTTAACATTTAATCTAAAGATAATTTTCTGTGTCACGGGTCGATCTGTGCGTGTGGACACAGGCAGTCAGAACAGGTCATCCCGGCTAATAGGACTACCTCATATACGATGTACATTCAACTGTGGTCTAAGTATTCGTCACCACTTAACGGATTTATGCTCTCTGAATCATCTTGCTTTTTGTCTACGTCTCATGGCAGTCTTCTCTAGTTCATTTCGCTGGTTTAACATTTGTGCGCCGGGTTGTTCGTATTATTCGCGTGTCCATGGTTTTTACGGATCACGTAGTTGGGAAACGAGTTTAAAGGGCTAAAAACTCATTCAGAGAATGTGAATGGAAAAGGAATTGCGGATGAACTACGACTTATTCTCTCTGGCCTTATATCGGGTAGCAACGCCGCGTAAGCAATTACTAAGTTTGACGTCTTGTTTTATGGCACACCATTATTTCACGCACCAGGTTGTGGTGGCTGTACCAAGCGTTGCGCATACCAGCCCACCGATCATCGCGACGTGCGTCGTTTACGCGACCAGGATCTGAATGAAAGAAGAGGAGTGGAGACCAAACCGTGTCTCAGACAAGAGAAATGGAGACTCTCAATTCTATGTTGGTCTCGGTTGGTGCCTGCCGACTCCCGGGTTGGGGTCCCGAAGGCTATGAACACATTTGATTGGATACACTTGTCGACATGGCCAGAAGCGACCTCAGCAGCTTTTGCGTTTCGAGTTTCTTTACCCTCTTCTCGATTAGCTCTCCCCACCAACAACGTTTACAATATTACGGCACGATAAAAATAGTATAGTTTCGTTTGCTTTGTTTGGGTTTTGTTTTTTTCTCTTTTATGGCAATAATTTTATGTTACTGCGCAATGCCTGAGGTGTTTCTCGCTGATACCTCGGGCCAAATATAAAATGGTCAACAGCTGCGCGATCATACCAGGTCGGATAAGCTCAGTTATGGTTTCCGCTGACCGTACAGATAATCTGCTACTACTACACAATCTGTACGGGCCGACTTCCTAAAACAGAAGACAAAAACCTTTGCTAAATCCTCTATTAAGCTGATAGCAAATCAGTATCTATAACTGAAAGTGGAGCCAAAATATATAGTTCATGAGAGAATCACCTAGCTGGAAGTTTCTGAATTACATCAACTACTAGATGTCTGAAAATACACACTTTGACTGACTAAGCTTTAAGGTAGATAGTTCTCGTTGCTAGACTCAAAATGAATCGCTCTCATTGGCTAGCCAGTTAGTTTAAGGCTGCTTTGGGTCAAAGTTCTCTGAGCTGCTAACGAAAGGATCGACTCCGAACTCTTCTATCGACGGACTTCCATAACAAGATCTCTAACCGCAACTGCTATCGGTCCCCAGGCTTCCAATCAGATGGACAACATTTGACCGCCTGATCAAGTCCTGACTAATTTCTTTATACATTTGATGACACATCTTGCTATCTACCTTTCGCCATCTATTTATCCTTACCATTCTAGTTTTGTCATGAGAATTGATCATTCTTAAGCCAATTTTCTTGATTAACCGTTGTCATTTGGCCTTGCTGCGCATCGCTGTAAATTGATTTATGCTCCAATCTCAATGTCTTGTACCTGGAGGTTAAATTGTACAAGGCACTTGTACCTTTTCTACCTCCTTTGACCGAGCAGGATCGTGCAACCCACGATCACCTTTGTCGTTGATTATGAACCGGCCTGAAATGCAGATGGTTACCTTCCTAAATCTCTCATCTCGCCATTTGCCTCTCTCTTTACAGTCTCCTGTTCCTCCAGTCAACTTATTCGAGGTGAATACACTACTCGAGGCGGAAGACCAGCGCAGTGCTGCGCTCGATCTTCAGACATCAAGTCCATCTGCCTCTTCGGTCCCATCATTGAGTCTGGCTGGTCCAAATCGGAGAGTCAGCCAAATATCCAACCCACCCGGAAATGTTAGACGTTTTCGGGCCGCCGCGTTTACTTTGGCCCAAGTGGTTGAGGTATGGGGCGCTCGTCTGCGGATCCGCCTTGTGGGCACTGATGATCGGAACGACTGTTGGTTCCTGGTGGATTCCGATCAGATACGACCCTACCCTTCTTTTGAGCCTCTACAACCTCCATTCGGTTACATGCACAACCACCTTCATTGGAGTCGAACCGTGAAATCCGCCACTGCAAATGCCAAGTTTGCTGATCCCTCTTGGTTTGTTAAGGTAAGTGAGCACTCGAATTTTACTATTTGTGCTTAGCACTTTGTCGCCAGTTACCCAGCGCTAGTCTGCATCACGTGACCCCATCACAGTAGCTGGGGCGTACCTCATTATAACGTCCAACTGCATATTGTTCCACACACGCGGGCCCTGGTTTCGCCTCTTAGCATCCACAATCACTACGCATTCCGGGCAACTGAACGTCATCTTGTTTGCCTGCAGTATGTTTGAAGTTGCTACTTATCTACGTTTTCAGTATGCTCACCATTTTTGACTGCACTCCAGTTGCCTAGTTCTGAGAACAAATCAATGGTTGGTCCGTTGACCCGTATGTTCAATATTCCGATTTCTTAAACCGTATTTCACTGCCGCATCGCTTGGAGTGTTGCACGCACATGGTTTGGGTCTTGATATCCGCATTTTTTGTTTATCTTGCTACTTACCCCCCCCCCATAATTTTTGTGAACGACTATTTATCGATGCCCACTCTTTGATGTCCGTCCGCTTCAAACCTGCCACCCTGTTTCTTCCCCACCAGCCTCCACCTGATCCCGCGGACAATTATTTCCAAGTTGGTGACAAACTTGAAGCAGTTGACCGCCGTAACACACAGCTCATTTGCCCAGCATCCGTCGGTGCAGTCAACGGGCAACACATCTTGGTCAGTTTCGACGGTTGGTCCGGTGCGTTCGATTACTGGACAAGATTTGACAGTCGTGAGCTGTTTCCTGTTGGTTGGTGCAAGAAGGCGGACTACCCTCTCCAGCCTCCTGGGCCAAATGCACTGCGCTCACCTGCTAGCCATTCCACCCCCGGGCCCGGGAGTGGAATACGCAAATCATCTCATCATCCCACTTTACTTTCACTGAATGCACCTTCCTCCGGTGGAACTCCCTTGGTTCCAATCACTATTTCAGACAACCGTGCACGCAACCGCACCTTGTCACGATCTAACCACAGGCGCTCCAAATCGTATACAACGAAACGAGCACGTTTACTTGCTCGTAAGTCTGCTTCTATCCGAAATGCCCACCGGACGAACCGGTTGACATCTTCCTGGCAAAGCAACTCCCACATGAATGGTAGCGGGCCTCATGACTTGAACGAATCCACTGATTCGTCTAACCGGTCGCTCTCCTTACCGCCATTGATTCATCCTGTGTCGGACGATCCACCCCTTAACATCAGTGGTTCTTCCGCAGATCACCCACCTGCTATTGAGGCAGCCCTACCACTGCCGTGCGACGTACCCAGCGGGCATCGTACCAGTGGCTCATCTGACTGTGTTGTACGATTGCAAGCTCGTTCGCCGCCTGATCCTTCTGGCCACACACAGTACGCGAGACCTGAGCTCAAATCATGGCAGGTTGTGTCCTCCGTGGCTCCTTTGCACCTGAAGCCAAAGAAAACCAAAGCTTCCAAAAGACACCGCCATTCAGTGGACGCCAACCCGGGTCTGCTGCGTAAAAAGTACAAACTAATTAGGTATGTGTTTTTTCATTCCATTCCACAAAGTACAGTGTTTTTGTCTGCTCCACTTTTTCCGAAATTTTCCCTGATCTGTCCACTGGTTTGCTGCTAACTACTCCAGATGATCGATAAGTCCCAAGTACTCGTCGAATAAGGCTTTCATCATACACTTTTGAAGGCACCATTTATTTGATGACTGTGGCAGCTGGCACTATCCACCTCAGCATCTATGATTTTACGCATCCTAACAGTTGTCCTTTTTCCATCCGGAAATCTGATCGATAATGGTCTTTAGTTCCCGGGCTTCGCGAGATTCTGTTAAGTGACCAACAATTGCCCTTTGTGCGTGGACGGCATCTCTCCGTTTGGGCGGAATTCAGCCGCTATGCAAGCGGTCATCATCGTCAACACTACACATTAGGTGGGGTGAGAAAACCACCACCTATCGTGCTGCAATACAGTTTAATTAGGCCACGACACAAAAGAACAAAGCAACGCAAATCATTAGTGTTATTATGCTTATTTTATTTCACGCCTTTGCAACGAGATCGCGACTGATGGGAAAGACTATGCCAGAAAGGGGATAAAGAACTTGCAACATAAACGCCGCCGAGGTCGGCTGTTAGCCATGTCAGCAAGTGTATCCAACCAAATGTGTTCATTGCCTTTGCAACCCCAACCCAGGAGTCAGGAAGCACCAACCGAGGCTAGCTTCGAAGTGGGAGTCTCCATTTCTCTTGACCAATGCACCGATTGGTCTCCACTCCTTTTCTAAAATAAATGGTATATTTCTCCGCGGTGCGAGACACAGACCAACTACGTGGTCTGACCAGTATGTACAACATAATCGGATGGCAGAGAGATTTTTGAGTTTTGCGAAGTAGTTACTAGAGAAACTTATGGTGTTTAACTAATTAACAGCAATGGAAATACGAAAAGTAGCGCGTAGAAACAAATGTAGGCATAACCAGTCGAAGTTCTTCTATCTAGACATCGGTCGCGGGGGTCGGTGTGCTGGCATGCGCAACACGTGAGGCAGCCATCGGAGCCTGTGCGTATTATAACAGTGCTAAGCAGTTCACTTGCTCTTCCTGCACCAAATACGCCGAACACGCTCATTGCACATGCGGTGTTCCCACCAAACATGGGTTGAGCTGCGAAGCCACCTGTCTTCGAACGTAACTAGCCTCTTTGCTTCTGTGATCTGATGAGCTAGGTTTCACAACCGTACAGGAAGGTAGAACGAACTCCTGGATTGTACAATCAACCCTACAGAGAGAGAGTGTGTGTGTGATGTCGCGTTGGTGCCATAGGTGGCGAAGATTAGCAAATGCGCCTCGAGCTTTTGCTATACGGTTCGTGACCTTATCTTCAATCCCGAGGGCGCTAATATAGCTGCCCAGATACTTAAATTTCTCTATAACTTCTAGCTGATCACCGCCAAGGGCCAGCGCAGGAGTAAGTCTCTATCAATCTTGGAGAACAACTTTGCATCTCGAGGGTACAAAGCATAGCCCGAAATGGCTGACAGCCAGAACTAATTAATCCAGTGCAACTTCGTGCGTTTGGCAGCTGTCACAGATGAGCGCAATGTCGTCGGGATACTCCAAATCACGAAGTCGGTCACCTGGGAGCAGCTCCATACCTTGTTGATCGTGCCCGGCGAACGCCATCTCCATCGATCACACAGTCCAAACTTGGTTTCTTTTGTGGTAGTCCAGGGAGGATTTCCGTGGAACAGTACAACCAGTGGGATAGTATACAATCAGCCACGAATTTCAGAATTACATTTCGCGGCACGGAAAGTTTCTTAAGTTTGAAAGCATAAACAGATAATTTTCTAACGCTGTGAAATGTTTCGAAAACGTGCGTGAAGACCAAGAACTTTTTGGGACAAATAGACACCGAGACACTTGACAGTGGATGAAGTAGGCATGTTTTTTAATTCACAGCTGATAGGGGGAGGCACCTAAGATAACCCGCAGCTTATCCGTGTGGGGAACTGAGAATGCTACTTCGGCACATTTAAAAGCATCAAGGTTAAGGGACTTGCATGAAGACATCTCAGTGGGCGAAGCCAGGCATCCCAAGACAACATCATCAGCATATCTACATCTAGTAAATGGTGTTGGTATGGGAAAACTGGTTCTTCGCATAATTGTACTTGGACTTGTCGATATGGCAGATGTGCTGCTTAGCGATTGTGTGTGAGTCGAAATTAGTAGATTAGCTCCTATCAATATACGAGAGTAGAGCAATAAGTTTCCGGATGCACAAAAGCTTTTCTTTTTTACAAAAGTTAGGCATTGCATTTTCTCCAAGTACTCTTCACTAGGGCTCGTGCATGGTCCCATGTGCTCTACTGCAGCTTCTGGAGACTCGTAACGGATTCCACGTATCATACGTTTGGCGTTTAGAAACACAACATAGTCAAACAGAGCTGGATCTGGACTTTAGGGTGGATGACCAACCTCCTGGATGCGTTCTCTAGCCAGCAAATCTACGACGACATGGGACCTGTGTGCATCTGCGTTGTCATGATGCAACAAGGTCCCTTGTCCTCGTGTTCTTCGACGACGGCTGGCTACAGCTCTCAGCACTTGGGGCAAACAATGGATGGCATACCAGTCGGCGACTGTGCGTTGCCGTACAAGCGGCCCAGTAGCCACATGACTTGTCTTGGGCACGACCACAGCCGCGCCGGAATTTCTGAGGCTGCGCCCAACCAACGGCCTTCCACTGAGCCGATTGTCGCTTGGTCTCTGGGTTTAAACTGTACACCCAGATCTCATCACCACTGAGGAACTCCCAAACAGCATTGGAACATCCACCATCAAACTTGGCGAATAGGTTGCGGCACCACTTCACCCGAGCTGCTTTCTGGTCCTCACTACGCTGATGGGGTACCTAGCGAGCGCAAAACTTGCTGAGGCCGAGGTTCTCATGTAGCATGGTGCTGATTGACCCCGATGGCTTTACCCAACTACACCACAGTCACCCGCGCGTCCTCCTCTAACCTCGTAGGCACAGCAGCAATGTTGTCAACGGTGGTGTCCTCTACAAGTCGACCACACCGTGCCTCATCATCCAGGGACCGCCTGTTATGCTTGTACTCCGCAAACCGCTCAAATACGATGGTTCTTGAAGGTGCATCATCACGAAACGCGGCACACAATCGCTCAACGCTCTGGTGCTGCTGTAAACCACATTTGTACTCATAGAAAATCATCGTCTTCCAGCGACATTGATTGTTCCATACTTACAATCAAATTATAGGGACATTTATGGCTTGTGAGATGTGCTTGGCTGCTGATATAGGGTCCTGTGAGTAGAAACGGCTGAACAATGTTCAGAATGGAATACCGCTCACCTTTTTCTTGTCAGATCACATGCACCTAATTTGTGTACTGCGTATCCGGAAATTTAATGCTCTGTCGTCGTATGTTTGGGGGTCAAGAATTGGAGGTTTGGAAACTGGGGGTATGAAAGTTAAGTTGGAACTAGACAATAGGCGTGAAAGCGTGTAAGAGGAAGAATTTGAAGGTGAGAAAGCCTATGCCGTAACATCCTCACCCCTATTCATCCCGCTAGCTTCAGCAGATTGGGCGCCGTTGATTATTCTCTGCGACGGCCAGAGCATCGAGAACTTGTTTGAAGAGATGGTCATTGTATTGCTTAGGCTGGATATCGTCAGGTTGCTCATGCCTTGGCAAGGGAGCAATTATAGTTCTCAACTAAAGCTTTTAACCGCTACGCAGTAGAATTCTGGCAGTAAGCTACATGGAGTTCGTTTTAAGGCACAAAGAGCCACCTTCACTCCAATCTGTAGGGCCAGGAGACTCAGTTTCTCTAGCCTGTCACCATTGACCAATCTGGCGTGTGAGCGGCTCTGAAAGTGCAAAAAATACCGCCGAACACAGCTCGATGAATTATTGAAGCACGCGAACCGTCGCAACGCTTTAAGCTCCAATGTCGTTGCGCTGTTTCACGAAACAAATGTTTGATGTGGTCGGTTGGTCTATTCATTTAACTATCTGCACCGTGCCTACTGGTCCCATCACAAAGATGGTTATCCTACTCGTTGCTGTTTCTTGTGTACTTTTTATATCATCAATTCCTTTTGGAGACGACCTGATGTGAACCTATTAAGGAAAGGGAAAGTACAATGCTGCGTTACGGTCAGTGTTACAGTTTGGATCCGAGACCTGGACACTGTGTATTCGGATATCGACCATCTGCTCTTGTTTCATTACCAATGACTGCGGCGTGTTACTCATATGCGGTTGGATCGCTGATTGATTAGTATTAGTGTTTGATAAGACACCGTATGGAGGTGCACTCGATTTCCTGATCGCTTACCATAGCTTTGTCACGGCAGCCATGGCCTACATTGTCCACAAACACCCCTTGTTGTGTGGTAGCGAAGCATCGGTACGATGTTCCAGCGTACTGCTGATGCCTTTTACCACTTCCAACCAACTGCTTTTGTACAAATGGCATTTACGCTGGACTAGAATTTGTAAATGCAATACTGTACTGATTCGCTCGTTTGAATCCCTCATCGTCGCCTTCTTGAGGTTCGATATTGAGGAAAATGTTGGTAGTTGAGGTCACTCGGTTGGTGCTAACTAGATAGCTGCTGCTGACTAACGATGACGCGCCTAAATTTTGTGGACGAGACAAAGATATTCAAGGAATCGCTGACAATCTCCGTGGAGTACTACAGTGCCGCCTACTAACCATCATTTTTGCTACCTTCGCTCTCCCACTGATTTTGCTACAGTCTTCATCAAACAATAATCGCAGTTAAACCTGGTGGTTGCACCACTTAGCTCGACCACCAATACCTGTTATTCCACTGTCAAATTCATCTACCTCAACTAAATGGCTTCTGGCTTGATTGCTGCTGTTTTCTTCTATCACTGTTGCGTCAAGCTGCAATGACCACCGGTCTGCCTCTCTATATTAAATGATCAGTTCTACCGGCTACGTATCCTATTTAGCCACGCCAAGCT